TCTGCCGTAAAGGAAGGCGGAGTCGGAGAAACCCGGCGAGGAGGCCGAGGGGACCGAAATGAGTGAGGGGGGGGATATTACGGGGGGGGAGCGACCGGGGGAAACGAGGGGGGAAGAGGGAAGGTATTGGGGAAGGGATTGTGGGACTTGCGACCCATGGGTCGGTCCGCTGGGAGGTTGTGAAAAGAAGTGAAAATAGTGTATGGTAGTGTGGATGGCATCTCTGGATGGATGGTTGTGTGATGAATTGTCAATATCGAATAACACGCGCCGCATATCGTCCGCTGTTACATGAAATATGTCGTACTGTACGGCTGGTGTTGTACAGGTGAGTCGCGGCGTGGAGACCCATTGCATGTTGGCGGAGGCCACCACTCGGATTCGGCATTTGGAGGAGCGGCTCGCGCAGATGCGGCAGGACGAGCTCATCACGCAGGTACGACAACATGGTACGGCCGTATGGTGTTCTTTTGCCGGTTCAGCCCCGATTTGGCGACCGCGGGTGTACGGAAACCTGAGTGACGTACACCTTGCATTGCAAACAGAACCGTGTGTATATACATGTGGGAGGAGTGTGTGTGTGTGTGTGTGGTGGTGGGGGATATTGGTTGATTTGTTTCCCCTGCCCACTTGCCCACTTGCTGCCTTTACTTACCACTTGCCCCGACTTCCGGCCGTACCGGCATAGTCCCCTGTGGGGTGCTCCTGGTTGGTACCGGCCTGACCAGGGTGAAGCCGTAGTGAAGCCGTCTTGCGAGAGGCCACCTCAGATCCGTCCCGGATACGCAGGGTACTTAACAAACGGCTGTCCGCATCCCCCCGGGGTGAAGAGCTAGATATTCATTTGACCTGACGGACTGACGGACTGACGGACTGACGGACCTGAATGGACATGAGGATGTTTGAGGGGGGAGGGGGGTTTTGAAAATAAAACTGAACGAAATTTGGTAAAATGGTGATTGGGAGTCCCGTATATTATATGTATGTATGTCGTGCACTGGAAAGCCCCCGGTGCGGAATCTGATGCCCTCTCCATTGCTCCCACCCCCCGGGCCGCCCCGCACCGCCCCGCACCTCCCTCCGCGGATCTCGTCCTGTACGGCGTATCTTCGCTATGGCTGCTGTGGCTACTGCTACTGCTGCTACTGGCGCTGCTGCTGCTCCGGGGCAACTCGGCTGCACGTGCTGCGGCTCAAATCGTCCAAACGCCCATCCGAAAACGTCCCTCGCGCGTGTGTCTCTATGTATGTATGTATGTATGTGTGTGTATGTGTGTGTATGTGTGTGTATGTGTGTGTATGCGCTTGTCTGCATGTCTGTTGGTCGGCCTCCTGTCTTCGTGCCTGTCTGTGTGTGTATTCCTGCCCGCACCGCCTGCAGCTTTTCTTCCGTATGAATGAGATTGTAAGTTATTACGGTGGTGGTTGTGGTGAAGGCAGTTAGGTTGGCCAACAGAGACGATACATGTGGGGGTGGTGGGGACCCGGGTTATCGTGCGCCGCAGCCTTCGTGTATTGTTGTGGGTTGCGCTTTCATCCCTGGCACCCACCGGTTCCCCGGGTGGGGTGGGGCACCCGCAGTGAAAAGTCACATTCAAGACTCACGACGAGGACACAGCTTCGAAAACCTTAGGGAACTCCAACTACAACGCACCGGCTGTCCCAAACCTCTCTCCACCCCCTCCCCTCCCCCCTAACCCGGCCGAACCCACAAACACACTTGCTCCCCCCCCTCCGACCGGCCGCGGGCCCCCCCCCCGCCAGGACGACATGCTGGGTATGGTTCAGCAGTCCGCCACCGCGCACACGGAGGCGCACGGGGCGGTGTGGCGGGCGGCCCAGGCGGACCGGGACTACCTGCGAGCCAAGACGGCGGCACTCAGGCGGCACGCGGTGGCGGTGGGGGACGCGTTGCGGGCCAAGATTGCCGAAAGCAAGGTGTGTATACTCCCTAGTTAGTTAGTTAGTTAGTATGTGTGTGTTGAGTGTGTGTGTGTGTGTTGAGTGTGTATGTGGGGGCAAGGGAAGGGGAGACTCTCCTTCGCCTAGAACTGCATTGCCTGATTACGTTTTGCATTCTTTTCAGCTGTCCATCACCACTGCTGCACCAAGTCTTTCCCCTCTTCCTTATCAGATAGGGCCGCAGTAGCACCCGCAGTGCTGCTCACCTCCTGGGTGGCTTCTGTCTAGCTGCTGCGAAATTGTGTCGTTTTCTTCTTCCGGTGGGCAGGCCAACGCCTCCACCTCCTCGGCCGCCGGTAACGACAGCGAGCTGGCCCAGTCGCTGTGGAGTGTAGAGCGGCGGGTGGAGGCGGTGGACAGTGTCGTACGCTACTTGGACCAGAAAGAAGCTAACAACGAACTGACGTACGAAGAATACGAGGTATGTGTACGGGTACGCATACGGATACGGTACTAGGGTTACGGGAAAAAAAGGAAGTTGAATGAAGCCAGTGCTAATAAACTAGGTTTTTAAAAAATGGGGACAGCAGAGTTATGGTCGTGAACGGCGCAATCGGGGTAGTTGCATTATTGAATTATGATGTGTCGGCTGGGGGTCAGCCCGGAAGACGAGCATGTCCAGGAAATGTAGATAGAAGCACACTGCTGACGTTGATTGTTAACCGTCAACTGTTAACCGTCAACTGCCAAGTGCTGCGGCAGATCATCCTGGAGGCGCTTTTGGAGGGCTCCAACGGCCACGTGCCCGCCGCAACCACTGCCGTACTGCGGGAGGAGAAGGGTGGCCTGGATACCATAAAGGCGGCGTACGAGCGTCACGCAACTCAGTCGTACGATCACGTGGTGGCGGCGGGTGGCGGCGGTGCCTCGGCCAGCATCGGCGCCGTCACCCGAGTCCAGGCTCGAAAGGAGAGCGCTCGGAAGCATTTCGAGGTGAGGAGGTGCCGTACCTGGGATAAGGAAGAGGAACAAGGGCGGAGAGGAGGGGGGGAAAAGGAGGGGGAGGGGAAATTTATCCTGACGTTTGATATTAAAATGTGCGCCAATCGCCTGTTGTCGCCGTGGCCACCTGCTATCACCGCGGTGTCACCCTCTGCTGCTTGGGGCTTCCCCCTCCCCTTGGGGCTCCTCGGCTGCAGAATCGCTTCATGGATATCTTCCACAAGCACGGCGCACATCACGGCGCCGCCTTCAGCGCCAGCCTCAACGAGGCCCTGCAGTCGCTGCCGGAGCGCTGCGTGCGTGACGTGGACGCGTACGCCTGGTTGCGGCTGTTGGGGTGGCTGCTGCTGGCGGCCCAGTTCGCCGGCGGCTACACTGCCCTTACGGCCTTCGTGCTGGTGGCCAAGAAGGACGACTGACGGCCGCGGATTGGAGGGGGGGGGCCTGAGGGGGGGGAGGGGGAAGGCGCTGGAAGCGGTTAAATCGGTTGAGGATGCGGTTGGGACTGAGCGAGCTATCGTTCTCTTGACTTCGTGCCTGTCTGACTGTGGCTGTGTGGCTGTGTGGGTGTGTGGCTGCGAGTGTTACTTGTTTGATCTGACTAGTCGGGATGCTGGCTGACTGTATTTGTACGCACACTGTATATACTGTATGTGCTTCATTTGACGGGATTGGTTAAAATTAGATGAACTGATGATCAAGTTTTGAATGAACAAACATGACTACCGCTATGTTGTTGCGAAGTGACGCTAGCGGATTAGTTCTTTGGATTTTAAGACTTGTTGCGACAAGTGGTGTCAACAAGGGCACCTGGTTAACTTCGCTGGCGCTTGTCGCCACGTCACGGAGGCCGGCGGGCAAGGAGTGGGTGCGGTGTCTGTGACGCTGATGCTGATGCTGGTGCAGCACTAACCAGCTGCGTCAGCTGCTTCGTGCTGAGCCAGGTACTCAGTGCGGTGGTACATGCGGCATGTGGGCGTTGCGGGACGTGTGAGCTTTCGCAGCAGCAGCAGCAGCAGCAGCACAGGTTGGAGCGTTGGGACGTGCGCTGTTGTTGAGGGAGGGAGGAAGGAAGGGGAAGGGAGGGGCGCTCCTCTTCCGCCTTCCGCCTTCCGCCTGCCTGCCTGCCTGCCTGCCTGACAGACAGACAGACAGACTGACAGACAGACAGACAGTCTTTTCCGGAGTGGTTGTAGTGATGCTGATGGTAGTGGTGCTGGTGGAATGGTGCTGGTGCTGGCAACAGATTGAACGAGTCTTTCTGCGGCCAGACGCTAGCTGGCTATGGAAGCTAGGGAGCTAGGGAGTGGTGGTGGTGGTGGTGATGCGCTCTATGGATACAGCGAATTCACCTGTCAGTGATATTGCAGTCCCTCGGAAATCTTTGGCCGAGCAGGCTAAGGCGGTTCCGGAGCCTTCGGGTTCGTTTGTGCCGTACAGCTCGTGAGAAACTTGTAACCATCCATCCAGGCGACCAGCGGGCTAGGCACGAGGGGCACGAGGGACGGAAGCAGGTGCCCCCACCGGATCGAGGTAAAGAGATACCTCTCGGGCAAGGGTGAGAGGCCTGCTCGGGTACGAGGAATCACATCACATCTCATCTGACTGTCGCATCCTCGCTCGGGACCTTCCAATGCCCCTCAGGGTGGCCCGATATGGTGGCTCTTGCACGTGGGGGAACCTTGCGCCTGCGGGTGACAGCGTATCCTGTCTTGGTCGTCTGTCGAGCGCGGAACCCATACATAACATATACGGCAACTGACTACACGTTTACTGTTCTAACCTTTGCGGAGTTAAAAGAGTTGCATGCCTAGTTTCCAAGTACCTGTTCTCATTGGCTTTTGAATGGGGAAAAGGGGGATCTTGATTAGGGCATACGGGGAGGACGGGGAGGATCCAAAAGCGTCCTGGTAGGGACTTAGGGTTTGTTTGCTCATCCGTTGGTCAGAGCAGATGGATACGAAGGGCTCCTCGAGTTCGGCCCCGAGCTTCCGCCTGAGGGACCTGGTGAACCTCCAGTCGGCCTCATCCAGGCCTCGTGTGTGTGTTTGTGTCTTTGTCATCCTCAGTCAGTGGTCAGAAGGGCCCGTCTTGACCTCTCCAAGAACCTTCCTCCTGCCTGGCGACAAATGCGCCACGTAATGAACAGCAACTGAACTGAAAAATAGCTATAACTACTTGGACGGTTTTCTGTTTCTGTTGGGCCCCGGCCGGAACACGGCCGCATGCCGTTGCGATGAGATTACACGAGAATATTCGAGAAAGCGGGCGTGGCTATGAATAAATGGAAGAGCATACTTAATCCCACCACGTTGGTGCGCTGTCTGGGCTATATGATCGACAGCGTGAAGGGGGAGTTTTCGGTGCCGCCGCAGGACCCGTGGGAATCATTTCAAGAGGCCGTGACAGAGGCCTTGGGGAAGCCTCACATCCCTGCGCGCACGCTCTGGCGTGAGTCGTGGGACATGCTGTGAGCATGTATGTCGTGGTCGGTCGCCTGGGCCGTCTTTTCACACGGGCACCAGCGGCTCCCTTCTCCCGGACAACGGGGGCTGGTCGGGGGATGTCACTCCAGAGGTCAACATCTTAGAAATCCCCATAGATGCGCGCGCCACTGGCTGGGCGGGCACCTTAGCAGGCCCGGGGTGTCAATGTGGGCAGCGGGTGGCTCGGCGATACCTTGTCACCCCATATGACATGCTAATAGACACGGATGGCTCACTCCCAGGACCTACGTAAGACGTCCTGCTCCGGCAATCACGAGCTCGCGGCTACCGTTTTCTCAATAGAATCGTTCAAGACGGAGTTGCGCGGGCAGCGTGTTCACCTTTTCACCGACGGCCAGAATGCGGAAAGGATCATCGATCACGGCAGTCGGAAAGCACATCTGCAAGTGTGGGCCCTTATAAAGTGTTCTGGTGGTGCAAGGAGCACCAAGTTCAGTTAAGCGTCTCCTGGATCCAGCGGGTACTAAATGAGGTAGCGGATTTCTTCAGCAAGCTGAAAGACGGGGATGACTGGAAGCTGAACCGCTTTGTGTAGTAGCTGGCTGCTGAAAAGAAGGCCTCTCGAGATGCCGGTGGTCGCGCTTAGCGCGTATTTGTGTAGCCGTACTGTGTACCAGCTACTACACTTTGGTTCCCAGTTGTGGACCGTAAGTGGGGCCCACACACAGTCGACCGATTCACGTGTACAGCAAGCACCCAGCTCAAACGCTTTAACTCGCTACATCGGCGCCCAGGCACAGGAGCCGGGAACTGTTTCATGCAGAAGTGGTCCGGAGAGAATAACCTGATGGTGTAACTCGCCATTTGCATTAGTGGGTCGAGTGCTGGATTTCATGCGGAACCAGGCAGCATCAGGCACGCTTATCCTTCCCCAAACCCGGCGTTTGCACGAACTGAACTGTAACTCATCGGGGGTCTGGGGGGACCGGAGTCCCCCAACGCCTTACAGATTCGGAATACTTTTATTCTCGCGACTAAAAACCTATTCCTCCGTTCGGACTGGAAAATTAACCGGCAAAAATGAAAAAAACACTGACCAGCATTTCTTCACGCCCCTGGGCCCGAAACAGACGCTGGCTGACACCCTGCTCCGCTGCCACCGTTGCACCTCCCGAGTGAATGCTGTGCAGCCCGAACACTGATTGTGCTTGCGTGTAGCTTATGCCCGACACCTTCGCTAGGGCACTTAGCACATGGTCTCGTGCCTGTGAATAGCTGATCACGCACCCCGCCAGCGGGGCAGCCTTCCCGCTTCGAGCCGCCTGGCAATTAAAACCTTGGGAACAACGGTTCCATCCTCTTCAGACCAGATAGGCGCAGATACCGCTCTAGACGGGGTAGGCCTCGCTGCTGCCCCTTGCGGCACACACCACGGTGCCTTCCCGGAACTGATCGTTCTTGCGCTTGGCAAGGACAATCGTCACATACTTTTCATGGAACTGCACATCGCAAGCCAACAGCCCACCGCATCATCATAACGTAGGATGGCGGCGAAATACAACGCTGTAAAAAGCCGCGAGCATGACCCACCACACCGGGGCCCCTTGGTATGGCATCACGATACAGTGAATATGCCATCAGTTTCACCTGGAGGTAATGCAGCAATACTTCAACAATAATCGGCATCAAGCTGTCAGTCCGACGGCGGAGGTCAAGGTGGACACGGATCGCCTATACGACTGCGGTGAGGATCGCTTCCGCCGTGCTGTCCGGGACGTGAAGGACCGGATGGGGACCAACCCGCTGCAGGAGGTGCAGACTTTTGGTGGCCGTGGAAACGGCCGCAGCCGGGGTGGATACGGGGCCCAGCGCTTTCACCCTTACCAAGGTGGCGGGGCAAACACAAATTTTAGCGGCCAGCAGCCGTTCGGTGGCCAGCAGCACTTTGGTGGCCAGCAGCAGTACCACCAGCCCTTGCCCATGGGGCCCATGATGCCGGCCAGCCGTGGCCGCGGCCGGGGACCGATGTGAGCAGCAGCAACTAGGGTCATGACATGCGGCATGTGTAAGCGTTAGGCAGAGCGGTGCAGTTAGACACATTGCCCCTCCTTATTTGCGGACATTGCGATTGGTGGACCCCATTCTATATCATTCTATCCACAGCTCGCTCCGACTAAATGAAGCGCTAAGAGGCTGCAGCCTGCGCCACCTCACGAGGGTCGCTGTTACCCCGTACGATCTTAGTTGGCCGCGTGCCACATCACGATTAAATCTAATTCGGGCTATGACGCCCACAAGCGAGCGAGATTCATGGCAACATGCCATTGGACGTATATCATACCCTACAAGGCTGCGGGCCTATTATGTAGTATTTACGGACTTATGTGCCCTTCCTTTTAATAATCCAGGCTGTAAGCATCGAATGAGATCGATGAAAGACACTCGCATGCATCAGGGAGCGATAGCAAATGCAGTGCGTTCGCTTAGATTAGTGTAGAGAGTTAGCGGTACGACACAATTTTGATGCAGCACGCGTTAGCATAGCGTTGTAGAAAGCTGCATCGCACTCAGTTTGTCATAAGATACCACGAACTTGGTACTCCCCTGTAACATCACCGCTTACATACGCGCAACATATTCAGCCTCCTGCTCTAAATTTTGTATACTATGTCGCGTGTTCCTAGGCTTGTTATTCCTGGTATTACATATAGTACTCAGCAGACTCAACAACCGCAGGCGCCGCCTCCCCCGCAATCTGCATCAGCGTCTGCACCATTAGCAGCTGTGGCCTCGATGAGTTGGGGTGTCCCGAGGCTAGTCCTGAACTTCAGCTCGGCTGCGGACATTCAGACAGCATCTCAGCAGCAAGTATCTGCCCGCCGACCCAAAGAGGTTAATGTTCAGACCGAATTTTCAAATGAACCAAAAGAAGCAGCTATCCAGAGGCCCGCGGTGAGATGCCGTTTGTTTAAATGCCACTTCACAAACGCATTTACATGGGATAGTATGTGACTCTTTTATGCACGCGCTTCGGTAGCAGGTCCAGAATACCGACGACCCTAGCGCCGTCCCGAGCTCGGAGCAAACGGCTCCAGTGCGGACTGGGAAGAGCCAGGTGGACGTTCGGCATGGCCAAGCCCACGATGAAGCACTCGCAGCGGCAGGTGTGCACGATCTACTAGACGGCCCAGCAGAAGTCGAAAGCTCCGACCGACCAAAACCTCAACTCTATGAGGGGACGCTTGAAGGCGCACTATAGGTTCTGGGCTTCGTTTATCAAGAACCCGTTGGTATTAAAGTGGATTCTTGTGGGGTTTCCCCTTCTCCGGATTGCGTCACAACCAGCCCCCTTTTTCAGAGCGAACCACGGTTCCACCCAGGAACACACTAGTTCTGTGATAGCCTCACGAATGAAGCGTGTTCCACCCAGGAACACGCTTCATTTGTGAGGCTATCACAGAACTAGTTCAGACAGGCACAGCCCTTCACGTAGCAGAGCAGCCCCACTGCGTATTGCCTTTGGGAGTCACTGTGCATAACAACGGAAAGAAGCGATTAATCCTGGATGCTCGGTACCTGAACGAGCATGTGGTTACGCCAAGTTTCAAATACGAAACATTGTCGTCCCTACAACACATGCTCCAGCCTAATGACCACGCGTTTACTATAGATTTCAAGAGCGGTTACCACCACCTTGACATGGACCCAGAGTTTTGGACTTACTTAGGTTTTCAGTGGAAAGGTCAGTTTTGTGTATTCACGCAACTTCCATTCGGTCTAGCGCCGGCGTGCTGGGCCTTCACTAAGTTAACGAGGGAGCTATTGAACCGGTGGCGCTCTGAAAGCCATCACTGTGCGGGGTATTTGGATGATAGTGTACATGCGCATCAGTCCCCTGATGCTTTAGCTCGAATTCAAAGAAAGGGTACTCCTCGATTGTGAGCACGCTGGTGTCTTGGTGAGCCTCGAAAAGTGCCAACCGATTTCCCAAGAAGTCCAGTATCTGGGGACAGTAGTCAATACAGTAACTGGCACCATGACTGTACCCAGTCAAAAGCGGCATGCGTTGATGCGCATGATTGACGGCCTGTTAGTTAATTGTGCTCGATGCCAGATCCGGGCAGTCACTTCTGTAGTAGGTCACATCATGTCGATGAGTTATTCCTTTGGTGAAATGTCTGTCCTGATGACCCGGTGGTTATCACAATGGGAAAGCGAAATGCTGCGGCAAGGTCATGCTTTGCAACATCACGTGCCTTTGTATGTGGACGCGATCCAGGAGTTAGAATTCTGGTGTGAGTCGTTCATGCGGTACGATGGCTGAAGGCCAATCTGGCGTCCGTCATTCATGCATACGATAAAAGTCTTCACAGACGCAGCGGGTGCCAGTACCTGTCAGTGCACAGTGTCATTTGGCAGTTGGGGCGGTTGGGCGGACTTACCATCACAACTGAAAGCGGCAGGCCCTTGGGTAATAGACACTCGGGGCCTATCGTCCGGTTATCTCGAGCTGAATGCCATGTTAAACGTGCTGAAAAGCATTAATAAGGATGGCCAATTAGTGAATCAACGGGTTTTGCTCCATACCGACAGCCAGGTCGCTGATAACGCATTGCTGATAACGCATTGCGTAAGGGAGGCTCCATGTCTGATGCTATCCAGTCAATGTGCTTCCAGGTGTTTTGGTATTGCATCGAGCATAACATCAACCTTGTCACCACGTGGATTCCGAGAGAGCAAAATGGTCTGGCAACGATCTGTCCAAAAGGGACGACACGTGTGACTGGAAGTTGCATCCATTGATCCATTGATTCCATCAATCAAGAGTGGGGACCTTTCTCAGTCGATCTGTTTGCATCTGATCACAATTACCAGCTTTAACCGTACTATACGTTTTTTCACACTCTGGGTACTTCGGGTGTGAATGCGTTTTCGTTGCCGTGGCCTCAGAGAGCATGGTGTAACCCACCTTTCGCAGTGATGAGCCGGGTCTTGGCATACACAGCGCTATGTCGCACCTCCATGATGCTAATTGCACCTTTCTGGCCGGGGGCCATTTGGTGGCCAGCACTCATCGAAAATGAGTTCGTTTTTCGATCATTTTTATGGGGCTGTTGGGTGCTGCCGAGGCGCCCGGATTTGTTCCTAGACAGCCAAGGCGAGGGTCATCTCACGAACTGGGGTGTGCTAGCCCTTAACTTGAATTTTTTGCGCGACTGTCCGTATGCGGTTCCGGTCCCAATTCATCGCTGACTACCGGCAGGGGAGGACATCAAGACCCTAGTGCGGGAGATGCTGAACAGCAGCATACTGACACAACACCCGCAGCTAGCCGCCCTGGTGGACGCTATGATCGAGAGTGCACATCTAACCCGGGTGGCAAGTACATGGCGGCTCTATGAACCAGTTATCCAGAAGTGGGTGTCGTTTTGCACCTCCATGGGGGAACCTCCTTTAGGTGCAAGCGGGATAGTCGCTGCAGCATTCTTGACAAAAGTGCAGCAGGATGCAGCAGTGTGCAAAGTGGGGCACCAAGCAGTGGATCGGGCCAGCATGGTGGTGTCCGCTTTTCACGAGCTGGCAGGTTTGCCTACCCCATGCATACATTCCTTGTGTGCCGGAGTCCGGGAAGTCACTCATGAGATGCTGTCGGCAACCCCCAGGAACTTAGACATCGCAACCCTGAAGGAGGTGTTGCAACTGGTGGAATATCATATCCACGAAGGTGTGCCCTTGCTCACTAGAATGGTCGTCACAGGTGCAGTGCTCGTGTTCTGCGGTTTGCTCCGCTTTGACGATCTAAGCCACATGCTGGTGTATACCGACCTGCTCCACATCTACAGAGATCACATGGAGATCTTTTTATTCAAAAGCAAGACCGACCAGCACTGCAAGGGTGCCTTTGTGACCATCGGCAGAATCGGCGGGCCGTGCTGCCCGGTGCTTCTTTTGGAGCAGCTGCTGGAAGCAGGTCACTACCAGCGGACACCATGCACGTCGGTGTGGCGCGATGGGGTTGAAGCCGATGCGGAGGATGTCGGCCCATTGCTGCACACTGTCAAAGTCCGGCGCAACTGCCTAGAGGAGGTCGTGGCGGCACTCCCGTCTACGGTCGAGGCTATGCCTTATTACAAGTTCCACGACACACTCTGGACGTTATGCGTGGAGGCAGGTGTGCGGTGCGACTTGTGCCCGCACTCCCTACACTGTGGGGGTGCCACGGCCCTCGTGCAAGGCGGTGCTGACTGGGCAGAGGTGCAAAAGCTGGGGTGGTGGAAGAGTAACACCGTTTTCGAGTTTGCATACATCCATGAGGACAGGGCACAGCAGCGAGCAGTGACGGCAAGCATCCCGCTAGGGTACATTCCCCGTAGCACCTAGACAGTTGGTTTGCTTTCAAGAGTCCGGTGGTTGAGTGCCTAAGTGTCACAGCCGGCCACTGGTCCAACTTGAAATAATCGGTCATTAGTGGGGGGGGATGTAGGGGGTTAAGTCGATCAGCAGGGAAACCCGAGGGGATACTAAGCCGATCAGCGGGGCGGTGTAATCGAGGTGCAAGCCATGGTTCCGTGGTTCGGAGTGGTGGTTGATGCAGCTACAGTGTCAGATAGGCAGCACGGTGGCAGTGTCGGTTGGGGCCAGACCTGGCGGCATCACTGCTGTGGTTCATACTGTCATTCCCACCCTCTCCACCCAGTTTTGGGGACTCTTAGGCCTTCTTGTCACGGCTGGCCACTGGTCCATAGTAAACGTGTAGTCATTAGGCTGGAGCATGTGTTGTAGGGACGACAATGTTTCGTATTTGAAACTCGGTGTAACCATATGCTCGTTCAGGTTCCAAGCATCCAGGATTAATCGCTTCTTTCCGTTGTTACGCACAGTGACTCCCAGTGACTCCCAAAGGCAATACACAGTGGGGCTGCTCTGCGACACGAAGGGCTGTGCCTGTCTGAACTAGTTCTGTGATAGCCTCACGAATGAAGCGTGTTCCTGGGTGGAACCGTGGTTCGCTCTGGAAAAGGGGGCTAGTTGTGAGGCAATCCAGAGAAGGGGAAACCCCACAAGAATCCACTTTAATACCAACGGGTTCTTGATGAACGAAGCCCAGAACCTATAGTGCGCCTTCAAGCGTCCCCTCATAAAGAGTTGAGGTTTTGGTCGGTCGGAGCTTTCGACTTCTGCTGGGCCGTCTAGTAGACCGTGCACACCTGCCGCTGCGAGTGCTTCGTCGTGGGCTTGGCCACGCCGAACATCCACCTGGCTCTTCCCAGTCCGCACTGGAGCCGTTTGCTCCGAGCTCGGGACGGCGCTAGGGTCGTCGGTATTCTGGACCTGCTACCGAAGCGCGTGCATAAAAGAGTCACATACTATCCCATGTAAATGCGTTTGTGAAGTGGCATTTAAACAAACGGCATCTCACCGCGGGCCTCTGGATAGCTGCTTCTTTTGGTTCATTTGAAAATTCGGTCTGAACATTAACCTCTTTGGGTCGGCGGGCAGATACTTGCTGCTGAGATGCTGTCTGAATGTCCGCAGCCGAGCTGAAGTTCAGGACTAGCCTCGGGACACCCCAACTCATCGAGGCCACAGCTGCTAATGGTGCAGACGCTGATGCAGATTGCGGGGGAGGCGGCGCCTGCGGTTGTTGAGTCTGCTGAGTACTATATGTAATACCAGGAATAACAAGCCTAGGAACACGCGACATAGTATATAAAATTTAGAGCAGGAGGCTGAATATGTTGCGCGTATGTAAGCGGTGATGTTACAGGGGAGTACCAAGTTCGTGGTATCTTATGACAAACTGAGTGCGATGCAGCTTTCTACAACGCTATGCTAACGCGTGCTGCATCAAAATTGTGTCGTACCGCTAACTCTCTACACTAATCTAAGCGAACGCACTGCATTTGCTATCGCTCCCTGATGCATGCGAGTGTCTTTCATCGATCTCATTCGATGCTTACAGCCTGGATTATTAAAAGGAAGGGCACATAAGTCCGTAAATACTACATAATAGGCCCGCAGCCTTGTAGGGTATGATATACGTCCAATGGCATGTTGCCATGAATCTCGCTCGCTTGCGGGCGTCATAGCCCGAATTAGATTTAATCGTGATGTGGCACGCGGCCAACTAAGATCGTACGGGGTAACAGCGACCCTCGTGAGGTGGCGCAGGCTGCAGCCTCTTAGCGCTTCATTTAGTCGGAGCGACCTGTGGATAGAATGATATAGAATGGGGTCCACCAATCGCAATGTCCGCAAATAAGGAGGGGCAATGTGTCTAACTGCACCGCTCTGCCTAACGCTTACACATGCCGCATGCCGCATGTCATGACCCTAGTTGCTGCTGCTCACATCGGTCCCCGGCCGCGGCCACGGCTGGCCGGCATCATGGGCCCCATGGGCAAGGGCTGGTGGTACTGCTGCTGGCCACCAAAGTGCTGCTGGCCACCGAACGGCTGCTGGCCGCTAAAATTTGTGTTTGCCCCGCCACCTTGGTAAGGGTGAAAGCGCTGGGCCCCGTATCCACCCCGGCTGCGGCCGTTTCCACGGCCACCAAAAGTCTGCACCTCCTGCAGCGGGTTGGTCCCCATCCGGTCCTTCACGTCCCGGACAGCACGGCGGAAGCGATCCTCACCGCAGTCGTATAGGCGATCCGTGTCCACCTTGACCTCCGCCGTCGGACTGACAGCTTGATGCCGATTATTGTTGAAGTATTGCTGCATTACCTCCAGGTGAAACTGATGGCATATTCACCGTATCGTGATGCCATACCAAGGGGCCCTGGTGTGGTGGGTCATGCTCGCGGCTTTTTACAGCGTTGTATTTCGCCGCCATCCTACGTTATGATGATGCGGTGGGCTGTTGGCTTGCGATGTGCAGTTCCATGAAAAGTATGTGACGATTGTCCTTGCCAAGCGCAAGAACGATCAGTTCCGGGAAGGCACCGTGGTGTGTGCCGCAAGGGGCAGCAGCGAGGCCTACCCCGTCTAGAGCGGTATCTGCGCCTATCTGGTCTGAAGAGGATGGAACCGTTGTTCCCAAGGTTTTAATTGCCAGGCGGCTCGAAGCGGGAAGGCTGCCCCGCTGGCGGGGTGTGTGATCAGCTATTCACAGGCACGAGACCATGTGCTAAGTGCCCTAGCGAAGGTGTCGGGCATAAGCTACACGCAAGCACAATCAGTGTTCGGGCTGCACAGCATTCACTCGGGAGGTGCAACGGTGGCAGCGGAGCAGGGTGTCAGCCAGCGTCTGTTTCGGGCCCAGGGGTGTGAAGAAATGCTGGTCAGTGTTTTTTTCATTTTTGCCGGTTAATTTTCCAGTCCGAACGGAGGAATAGGTTTTTAGTCGCGAGAATAAAAGTATTCCGAATCTGTAAGGCGCTGGGGGGGACTCCGGTCCCCCCAGACCCCCGATGAGTTACAGTTCAGTTCGTGCAAACGCCGGGTTTGGGGAATGTCGCAACACACGAACACCACAATCTCTCAAGCACTGATCGATTAGAGTTCGTTTAATACCACGTTGAAAGATAACACTACACGGCTTTCCAGGTTGCAAAAGTAATGATGCATAGCAGCAATCAACCGGAACCACCAAACGCAACCTGTTTCCTGGCCCATCGCAATTGTCTCGATGCGACGAACGTTGATGTTTGGCCCGCTCGCTGTTGACAACCGGAGTGGCGTCATTGCTGGCTGCAGCACATTGCCTACGTCGGCTGGCTGCAGCACATGTCCACATTGCCTACGACCTCTACACCGTCTTCACTAACGTCGCTAATGGCTTCAGCGAAGTTTAATATCTGCTTTAATGGCCTTCCACGCTTTGGGAGCTTCGGGTCCGAATGTTTTGCAGCGTTTGGTTCGGTCAGAAACAGTCCGATTCCTCATTGACTTTCGGGCGTGAGCTTCTTAACAGTATCCATGGCATTAAAGTACTATGATATGGTTAACATGTATTATCTCCCGTAAGATTCTAGCGGCTTTGGCATGGACAGTCCATTCTTGGCTGGAGGAATGAACTTGTAAGGTCGGAACACTATTTATTCTTGATTTTCAGGACGTGCAGTTGGGGGCCCCCCCGTGGCACTCATGTAAAATCCCCCTTTTTTCTCTCGACCGGGAACATCTGTTATTAAAGTATCGGTAACCGGGCTCGCCCCCCACCACCCACGGAAGCAAGCACAACTTTCCTGCCTGCAGGTGACCCGGTAAGGCAACTACTCAAGAAAACGTTTCATTAATTTTATGGACAGTATTACCTGAAAAATTTTAGGCAAATTCATGTAACAGCCAAGGGCCCCATCTTCAATCCTACATCCACTCCACACCTTTAAACCACATGACCACCAATACCCCCCACCAGAACCAACCATCAGGATCCTCCACTCGGCCATGCATGTGCCATCAGGATAATATTAACAAGTACAAAAAGTGAGAGTGGGCCAGAAAAAAGGAAACCTCACCAGTTTAAATGTGGGGACTAGTGGCACAACTCAATTGTGCAATTGCGCAAAGAAGAATGTAAAACATGGAGAATTAGGCATCTGAATTCACTTTAACAATGGCTTGTGCTTTCTGTAGCAACAGCTAGCATTGTGCGGGCGGTTTGCACTGTATGCCCAATGCAAGAAAACAAACCGTTTTAATAATTAGGAAAGCCACACAGCCCACTTCCTTGCCATATGCCAGCATAAAATCACTCTTTGCCTGAACATTTCCATGACCTTGCGAGACAGGTGCAGGTGAATGTAAACATGGGTTACCCTGTCTGTTACCCATCAGTAGTGTATTACCCCGACCCCTTTGTACCCCTCGGTAAGGGGTTACCCCTACCCCGGGGTTAGGTTACCCACCTCCCTTCGTACATAGCCACATGGGTAACCCCTAACCCTACACCCTGGGTTACGCTTAAGGGGGGGTTACCCCCCGTTTTATGCCATAGGGCTTGGAGCAGTAGATGGGGTAAAGTGCAGGAAAGTGAGGTCGCACGACCCCACACATACATTCAAATCCGCCTGCCGACTTCTCGGGTGAAGTGTTGAAATGGGAGGTGGCCCCCCATCTTATGGACGGTGTAGGACGTGATAATATCAACTTGCGAGCTGACCAGGAACTAAGTTGAGGCGCCGTTGATCCGCTAGATTTGTTTGGATGCTGGTGGTGAGTTGCTGAACCCAACGAATACATCCTGAAGTCGGATGGGGTGAACGGATTAGGGTGCCCCTCTAGCAGGGGAGAGCAGGGAACTGCCTCGGGAAAGGGGGCCGCTGGCAAAGCTTAACCACCCTGTAACGACATACATATATTAGAATTAGGCACTACTGGTAACGCGCGACCTCGGGAGATCCCGGGATCGAGACGTGTCAGGGTGGAATTTCCTTCCGAAAAAAAATGGACGGTGGTGACCTGGGATAAAGTTAACCTGCGAGCCGACCAGGAACGGAGTTGGGCCGCTGTCGACCCTGCAGATTCCGTTGGATGCTGGTGGTGGGTGCGGAACCTGAGCGATCCACTGAGAAGTTGACTAGGGTGACTGGATGAGGGTGCCCCGAAATACCGGGGAAGGCAGGGTTTCGCAGGGTAGCTGCCGCGGGTGAAGATATTCCCCCTGTTTCACACATCATATGCGTGAGTAACCCCCGACCCACCACCTGGCCACCGACATGCAATCATGATAGGGATCAGCGCGAGCCGAGACGTTTAAAAGCATGACTCAGTACACCGTTTCTTAATTTAATAAGGTCTAGTGACTACCGTACTTCCCGCAACATTACGAAATGTGCCGTACACTCCGGCCAAATGCTAACAATAGATGCCGATAAGCTTACTTACGCGGCCTCCAGCAGATACAGGACGTAAACTACTCGATGAATCTGGACGCTATCTTTAAACATCCGTACGTACTTCAACTTTTGTGCACTTTGCCTTAGCACAAAGGTGTGAGCGGTGAGGCCGTAAGTACCCCAATAATGGTATCGTGACATGTAATATTGCACATAGCTCACTCGATGCGGCAGGTTCATAATTGTGCATTTCCGTTGAGTTGCCGACTTTGGGGCGGCGGCCCCGCCTGCCCCGCCCGCCATGTCCGTGTGTCCGTGTGTCTGATAGCTCACCTACCTTCTGTATAACCTTGCCTAATCTCTATTTTATGGTATCTTTCCTGTAGCTGACAAACATCGTATGAGTGCAAACGAGTTTGCCTGTCTGAAGACAGGCAAACTCGTGAGCCTGTCTTCATGGACCGAGACCAAGGTCATATCAACGTTTCTCGCGCGATATTTCCTCAATACAATACCGTGTTTCTTATCGAAAGACATGCAGTTGACGGCACATGCGAATCGAACATGCAACCAGCTCTCCGCGACCATTGCGGCGGTTTAAGGCCTCGCGCTTCACGATTTCACGAGCGTTTCGCTAACGAGATGACATCATTTCTTTGCAAAACTATGCAAAGTTTAGGACCTTCGACGGCCGCCTGCCTTTCCTGGCCGATCTTGCAAGGTGGGACGGCTTCCCTTTTGCAAGGTGCGTTGGCATTGCTGACTGCCCTTGTAACGCGTGTCGACTTACGGACTGCTCTTGCAAAGTGCGTTGGCTTCCCCGACCGCTCCCTGCACAGCGAGACAGCCCAGCAGTTTGCGCACGTATGGCTAAGCGATGGACCTGTACGGAATAAAGGAACCCACGCCCTTTTTACAGCTTCCAGGAAGCCGACACAGCCTTGACACACCCCGCGGTTAATAATACGAAGCCAGAAGCAAACATGCCTGGAAACTTGTCTGGCCGGTTTGTTGCACAGGAGCCACTGCCCACGCAAATACTGCCATAACTCCCCTTTTCAGGAACCCTATGCCGAGTATATGAACCCGGCAATTACGCATGTAGCTCAAACCCCGCAGCAACCAGTGCAATTGAAGCCCGGCTGCGGCCGTACTAGGCTTTTACATTTTCCGCAGTAACGTGACTGCACCTGGTAGATATATGGAACAAATGACAGTTTCTGAGCCTTCCCTTTGAATGCCCTTTTGGCTGTTTAGACGACTTGCGTTGTCTCATTTGGGTGGGAGTTTTGTTTGTCATGTTCGTCTCATGTGCAGTGCACGGCCAGCTGGCCAGTTGGCTCTACTCTTCGTGAGTCTGGAGCCCGCTGCAACAACCACACACACACACACACACACAGTTTCCGCAATAAAACAGTTTTTGGAGATATTCCTTCATGAAGTTCGTCCCATATGAATCTACTATCTAAGATATTCAGTGGATATTCATTTCCTAGTGAACGGTTAACAAGCTCCCGCGTTCCGCCGCCATTCGCCGACACGCCTTCCTAAAAAAGGAACACGAATCGGCGTTTCAGCAAGGCCGTGACCGTGCTGCCGAGTCAATGTGGCTGTTATCACCGTCTAAATCTAATAAATTATTTGGATTGATATCGTGGAGCGAATTAAGGTACACTACAACCTCAGTGGCTGGGGGAGAAGCCGAACAGTGCACGGCACCTTACGGCACCAGTCCCTTATGCCCATTATTCCTCATACTGAGTTTTCATTAAAAAAACATTCCTGAATTGATGGCAAGATAATCCTATCAACTTAACTCCTTAGTGCGCTGGGCAGGATAGTAAGCGTGAACGGCGAGCAGCGGCACTACCTTTGTAGGCTTTTCCGGAAAACGGACCGTCATCAGGTCTGCATGGCCATTATCTACTGAGTATTGCTTGTATTGTTGTGAAAGGATTTCTGATTCGTCCTTGTAGCTTCCTATAGCGTCTTCAAAAGCCGCTCCTGCCATCCGATGCACTGCAGATAGCGCGACATGGAAAAGTACCTGGCTGCACTAGTGGTCGCCGCAATATGGGCCGTATCAGGTAGGCATCTTTTCGTCCACAATCTTTGCTGTTAATTGCAAGGGGAAAAACTATAACCATTCGCATCGCAGTGTACTGCGGTAGCTAGCGCGAGATTTCGTATTGCTCCATTGCTTACAAAGAAACACGCCTGTGTTGCGGTCTTGCGGTATTTCATTCCTGGTCGCAAACTGCTCGCGTGTACACGGAAAGTCACGAAATTATAGGCATGTCACGTTTTCACGACGGAAGGATGCAGGTACCCCCAAGGTACCTAAACATTCGCGCCGTGTGCCAGAGTGGCAGTACGTCGCGCCCGTGCCCTTCAGACCCCTAGGATTATTCAGCTCAGCAACCCTGGTAGCTGTGCTGGCAGTTATAATCTGCTGCAGGGCTGGTTGATCCGCGAACACCTTACCGATCCTGCAGCTGACTACGGTCGTGAATACGGGTAATCAAAGGCTTGGCTACCCAGCTGAACGAACCAAGAGACCTGTAAACGGGGCGGGCGCGGTGTACTCGCTCGCGTTGTACGCGCCGACATTGGCGCGTGACAGCGGCATCGAACACTTTGGGTGCCGCTTTGTATACACCCTTCCCCCTTGGGACGTGAGCACGGGACACACTCCCCAGGAAGGTCAAGCACTGCGGAATGAAAAAATCCACGAATATCACGCAATGGAACGAGATTGAATTGAATTGGATTGTTTTGTTACTAGAATGGGAGGCTTCTGGGCCACTTGAACACATTGTCATTTCTTACGATTTATCACACCATACAGCACCATCCACCATTACAACACACTGTACTACGCCATATCCGAACTGGAAGTCCAAGGCGGTTGATCCTGCCTTCTAGGATCTCTCCTCATCCATTCACCCGAACATCCGTAGAGACGGAGGTCGCCACCAATCCAGCGAGGGTTCAGCAATCGCCACCAATCCAGCGTGCGAATCTCAATCCATCAACTGGAACGACTAAACTAACAGGGTGTTTCCACTTGGCCGAACACTAACACTAAGTTTGAATGTTCTTCGTCCTGGACTCGTCTCTGGCAGTTCTAAATGCATATATTGATACTACTAATGATAGTAGAAAATATTCATCAAACAAATTGGAGGTTGGGGCACTCCTGGCGGAGAACCGTAAGGCCTAGTGGAAACACCCCGTACACTAAGTCCACACTAGCGCACACTAAAGTTAATTGGACCTCAGACCTGCCATTAACTTTAGTACCTAGCACTAACTATTTGGCGGGCAACTTTTATGAGCTGGATTGTCCCTTCTGACCATAGACTTTAGACGTAAGCAGCTATCTTTTTTCCTTCCTGCAAACGCCGCGTTGACTTGCGCACGCCCAACACCGACAGCCTCAGAACACCGCCATTTTGCAATGGAGCCCTCCTTCAATAACGTTCAGCAAACATATACCGCTAGTTTGCCTTCCTCCGCTGGCCGGACGTTGCCAATGCACCATGCGGACTTCATGGCAGACATAATGACGCAGGCTGCGCCGCAGCGGATCTTAAATACGCGAATTCTTACAGACCTTGACAATTATCAGCAATTGATCCCTGGCGCTAAAACGTTCAAAATACGAAAACAATTTTGGTTTCGGCGCTCCTTAGTGCCGCTAGTGGAAACACCGTCACACTAAGTCCACACTAGCACATAGTGTACCGAAGATAGTGTTCGGACAAGTGGAAACACCTTGTAAAAATGGTTCCGGAAAGGCTCTCCGAAACCAAGAGGAGAGCCAGGGCAGTGGACAAAAGGCCGTGCCCGGGTAAGACACAAGGCCCGCGTGCCGCATCCACGGAAAGCCCTTCGCAACCAGTGCGAGCTTTTGCCGCGCGGGGATGTACTTACTATTCACGGAGGGGTGCAGAACCCGTGCAGGATAGGACCGATGCCGCCCCCTGCGGTCATCCCGACACCTCTACCTGCAGTCCTCCGCTCGCGAGTCCAGTCTCCCGCCGCACACGAGGCGGCAGTAAGTCGTATGTGTCACCGCGTCCCAAGTCGGAAGGCCTGCTCCACTCGGCTTTTTGGGCGGGGCACCAGCGCGAAGCGCTCCCTAGGATTGGCCACACGTCCATGTGTCCGTGTTCCCGTGTGCCGGGTGTCCGTGTGAAATTACCGAGCACAATATCTCGCCCAGCTGTAAAGCCTTCTGCATCTCCTATAGCTGACAAACATCGTATGAGTACAAACAAGTTTTGCCGGTCTCCATAAACGGTTTTTCGCGCTATATCTCGGTTACACGATGCCGTGTCTTTCATTAAAGGACAATCGAACAAGCAATTTGCGCGACCATCTCATTGTTACAGAGTCGGCTTCCCTAACTGCATTTGCAAGGTGTGTTGGCATTGGTGACTGCCCTCGTAACGCGGCCCTCAGGGCTTGTAACGCTGTCGACTTACGGACTGCTCTTTCAGAGTGCGTTGGCTTCCCCGACCGCTCCCTGCACAGCGAGACAGCCCAGCAGTTTGCGCACGTATGGCAAAGCGATGGACCTGTACGGATGAAAGGGGTCCCCATCCTTTTTCCGGCTTCCAGGAAGCCGACACAGCCTTGTCGCACCCCGCCTCACTCGGTTCTGTACGGTTCTACCCGTCTCTGCCTAAAATAAAAGGAATGCGCTGCCGTAGCTGTACGGTAGTGGCTCCGATGCCATACCATTTAGGCAAGTGCCTGTACGACGTAAGCTGGTATAAGTTTTGCTCTTGTTCGGTAGCGCTCTAACTCCTTTCTCCAGCCGTGCCCAGACTCAATACTCGTGTATGATATGTAGCCAATATACAATATCCCTGGGCGCCCCTGTTTGGATTGCAGGTGGCAGGGCGGCCAGACCTTTAGAGCAGGTCCTCCTGTCCTGGACCCCAGGTGCACCCAGCAACCTGACCCTGAGGCCCTCCAGCCAGCCGGATGGCAGCGCATTGCTCGGCTGGTGGATGGGCTTCAATAACGCCAACATCACGGAAAGTAGCTCTGGAACCACGTTCACCCAGGTCCCTCATACGTAAGCAAGCGCAATGCGGGGGGGGGAAGGAAAGTTTACAACGGATCGTACACTGGGGCATTTGGCCGACGGAAACGCCTCTCGACCTGCTGCTGGGAATGCGCTTTCGCGCGTATTTGTATTTGATGGTGTGTGTGCAGCTACGACGGCAGCTACTACATCCGTAAAAGAGCCTCTTCTGCGCCACTGTCCACAGCAGCCGTAGCGACTCACCGAGCCACTGCTCACCGCCACCCGGCACCGCCGTGCGTGATGCAGATTTATATTGTTATTTGAATGATCGGCTCCGACCCACCCACGCCGTCGTGATAGCTAGGTTTCATCAGCACTCCCTCAGTCGCTACGTCCTTACTCGTCGTAGTGACATCAGTCACTGGGAGTCGCGGAGTGCCGCTGGGGTTGTACGCAACCATTCGCAAGCACACATAACCAAACGTAGACAGTTTACAAGGAGCCCTCCCCCGTGGTGACGTAAATGTAATGCAAGTGTATGCTTGCTTTTGTGCATACGTACACGCCTGACAGCGCGCGCATAAACCCTTCTGTTGCTGCTGCTCCTGATGATGATGATGATGATGATGATTGTGTGTGTGTGCAGCGCCTCCATACCGCCCACTCCAGCCACGACCACGTCTTCCTTCGCCACTCTGGATCACGTAAAGCATCTTGCCATCACAGCCCCCATCAAGGTCGTTCCGGGAATCCGCAAGCTGGTCTACTCGACCCAAATCAGCGCCAAGGTGTGGGTTCTATGTGTGTATGTATGTATGTTGTTACAGGGTGGTATAGCTTCACCAGCGGGCCCCTTTCCCGAGGCAGTTTCCTGCTCTCCCCTGCGAGACTGGCACCCTAATCTATTCACCCCATCCGACCGTTGGGTTCAGCAACTCACCACCGGCACCCAATCAAATCTAGCGGAATTTCGGCGCCTCAACTTAGTTCCTGGTTAGCTCGCAAGTTATTATAATCACGTCCTTCACCATACATAAAAATAAGGTCTAGCTCCGAACTGATCACCAAGGAATCAGTGGGCAGATTTGAACATGGATGATCCGGGTGCAGACGTCAGGCCTTAATCTTTACCAACCGCCTGCCTACTGTATATGTTAGTCTGCACCTACATTAATATATTTGTATAAATGTTATGTAGTATGCCCTTTACCTACTTGTGGCTCTCATGAGGCTCTTGTGGGTACTCTGCTGGCCCGTGTGGGTACTCGTTACATCTCGGGTAACGGGTTACGCAACCGAGGTGCAACACACACACACACATACGTACGTACGTATGTGTGTAAGGAGTTATCCACGTGTTATGGGCAAAACCAGGCAACGGTGGCTGACTGATGGATGAGCCAGCCCTGAATGAGACACGAAGCATTTCACACCAAACATGCAAAGCGATGTGTGTGTACGTGTGTTATACATGCAAAGCTATGCTTCCTTGCCCGCTTGACATACAGCCATCAGTGCAGAGTACCGAAGGACAGGGACTGTCGGAAGGTTTGTCACTCCTGAGTTGGAGGGCACAAAGCCGTACGGCCAGCCGCCAGGCAGCTACCAAAATTAAAACAGGACTCACCTAGCCATCCGTGCCATTCCTGTCACGACTGAAACCGGAACGAAGGCTGCCCGGTCACTAACTGCCTTTGCTGACCACCGCGTATACCTGAATGTGCACCTGCCACGCAAGCAATTATCATATTAATGGTTGGGTGATCTTTTAACCATTTTGCTTGGCGCATCAAGGTTTAACTTGTCGTACATGGCCTCTCAAGGTATCTTGGGCTGACGCATTGACTGACGGCAGGCTGGTCAACCGCAGGTAACCGTTCCCAGCACCGTGCCGTACAATGTGGTCAACGCTCAGGATGACATGCGACTGGGAGCCTGCGCTATGGTGAGGTTTATCAGAACCGGATGGCTAGTAGGTGGGAGAAGGGTAATGAGCTTATAGTTATGCACGTGGTCGGCACAATTTTAAACGAACTTATGTGCTTCGTCCCGTGCTGTACGGCATATTATTGACTTCGACAGACAGAGATCATTTTGGCAGGTGGCAAAGGTCGCTGGCCTTGGAAGAACCCCTTCCATATGCCAAACTCCAAGCTCGACCTCGTTGCTAAGCAGCTGGTGACCCTGCGGACAATGCTGCTTGCGCTGCTCCTGATCCTGCATCTAATCGGCCGTCCGCCACCCTGCCGCGGCCGCGGCCGCTGTTGCTGCCGACCCTCTGCAGAACTTCATCGACTTTGGTACGATGCTGGTCTCTGACTTCATCATCACCAACAAGGGCATGTGCGTGATGGGTGGTGGGTTGGGCTGGATGGGCGGACGAGGTGCAGCTGCACCATAGCCTGGCATGGCTCTGCCCTGCACCTACATACCCTGCCCCGTCATCATCTGAGCCTGCACGTGTGGTACTGCGGTTGCTGCCGCGTGTGCCTCCCGATCTTCCGCTTCACTCGCCCCGCGGCGCTCCTCACGCATGTCCCGTTGGGGATTCGATTACAGGCAGTACGCAGCATGACTGCATGAGTAGTCATTCAGGAGACACACATACACACACACACGCACACACACGCACACACACGCACACACACACACACATACACACACACACGCACATGCCGTCATCAGGAGATGTGTAGAAACGCGGTGTGAAGGTGTAAGTCTGCAATGCCGGGTACCCGACTACTGCCCGCCGGGTATCTTCACTTCGTGGCGGGTTAGTCCGCTGCTACACACCGCACGGGGAACCACGCACTTACCCGCCGCTCGCGCGGAGGCTGCAGCCTCAGCCGGGATGTAGCCGTAATAGACTCGCCTGTTGTGATAGATGCTGTCGGCCTCAGTGGGCCCATCGTGTTTCTCTCCTTCACGAGTATTCCACTCCTATCCCAACCACCGTGCCGTGCATGCTGTATGTGCCGTACATGCCGTATTTAGACACACTGCCGGGTCGTCGTCGTTGTTGCTGCATCTCACTGGGATCACCGGTAAGATTCCCTGCCGGCGCTATCAGCAACACCCCCCTGCGAGGCTCCTCCCATATCGAAGATGCGCATTCTTCAATTGTTCCCTTTTTCCCCTTCCTCGCCCTTGCCCTCACCTTTTTGCGTGGCTTTCACCCGCACGCACGCACGCTGCATGCGCACACGACAACCCTGCAGCTGGTCCTTGTATGAGCGCCTACCGTTCATCCGTAATGCTTCGTACGAATACGGGGCTTTTACGTATGCACGGAAGATCGCCGGTCGTACAAGTCCCTCGCAGGTTCATGACCTCCAGGTGGGTGCCTTCTCCAGCTCACCGCCCCGACAGCAGTCGTTCCTCTCCTCGACAACCACGATGTATGGTGGCGATGACGGTGATGGTGGCGATGACGGTGATGGTGGCGATGACGGTGATGGTGGCGATGACGGTGATGGGGATGGGATGGTGATGGTTGGTAGTGGTGAAGAGGATGGTGATGGTGGTGGTGAGCACGAGGAAAGAGCCCTCGAACTCGACCACGGGAGCACAACATGATTAGATTCTACTATGGACGTCTACATCCCACTTAACTCTGCTGAAGTAAACGAGCATTTGGATGGCCTAAGGCCGGAAACGGCCCGGGGCACGGAGCTTCCGTACTAACCGTGATGCCGTAGATGCAGTGCATCTGCACTGTACGTACGGACATCGAATGGGCCCTGTCATTTCCCGGGCTCTGCCATTTCACGCAACAACAGATACGACGATGATGATGATGATGTGATGTGAGACATGATTTAGGAGGACACGCATCATAATATACCGTACATTAATTTTTACAGGAGCCTTATGCGTGTTGAGTAGGCCTGTCGTATCATCCGCCATGTGGACGGACGGCGCCAATGTACGGCAACCCCATTCTGACACTCTTTCCGCGGTGTCCCCTTACCGCATCACCAGCCCGTCCAACCAGCTGCTGCGCTAGAGGAGGTCACCTAGGCGCCATCTTCCCCCGCTCGGCCCTCATGAGCCCCCTCCCCACCCCCCGTAGATCAAGTACGACCCGAGTAAGAATGTGTACGAGTGGTGGGTGGACGGCAAAATGAAGCATTCGGTGCGTCTTCTTGGGGGGGGAGAGGGGAGGGAGGGGAGGGAGGGGAGGGAGGGGAGGGAGGGGAGGGAGACGAGTCCGTGTACGTGGATGGCAACCGGGTGAAAAAGGGGGGAGAAAAGGGGATTTCGTTATAGGGTGTACTAGTCTGTACTAGTTTTTATACCTGTTTATTGTCTGAAGCAGTGTTCCAGATTGACATACATAGATACATGCATACACATACGCTGCAGGTCGGTCGTCTGGGCACCCGGCCAAGCGGAATGAGGGCCTTGCTTGATCTCGGGGGTGCGGATGAGGTCATCATGCCGACTTCGTTCCAGCTTGGTGCGCGCGTACTAACTGCGTATAAGAATTTAAGCATGATTCGACTGTGAACAGTCGGCAAAATGCAGTGTACTGCTCATTTCGTTTGCCAACTGGTTATTTACCATTGATAACCTTTATAACTTAACTAATTCTTACCCTTTATTTAGGTTTATTATTAACTTTCTTATGTTATTGCATCTGAAATTTTTACACAAAAACTTATGATTTTACTGCGACTCGTTTGAACATGTTCATTAAGATATAGAGACAATAAGCCGTCTTTCCCAGCCTGGTAATGTAATGATAGGCCTTTACCAAGATTTGAAATAGAGGCAAGCTTCCTCTTCAGGCACGAATTAAGGGAACCATAAAGGAGATGACTTATAGCCAGTTCACATGCTACGTTACGTTAAGACTTTTTGGGAAAAGTGGTCGGTTCGGACATGGTAACGGTACGTTACCGGTAAAGTGGACGAAAAGTCTAAAGTGACCCGGGGGGGGGGGGGTGAATTTCGACCCCTCGTACCGTTACCTGAATTGCGTCGCCAATTTCGCGAGTTATAACAAACAGCCAAGCCCAATCGCTTATAAAGACCACATATTTGACAAATTGTGCGCGCTTTGCACTCCGACCGAATTTCTAGTCACACCGCTGCAGTTTATTTTGGAAAATGAACAAGGACAACGCCGCTCGTGTTGCTCGCCCGCGCACGACCCCTTACATAGCCAATATGTAACCCATTGTAGTATCAGGGCTGAAGCCATCCGCGAAATGGCAAGTCGGCCGCACTTCCGGCGGCATGGGCCGCGCCGCGTCGGCCCAAACGCGCAAGCACTGCCATTGAGAATTGAACATATCCTCAAGGTTGTCAAAAATTACATCCATAGCGGCCGCTAGGGCAAACGCCATCGCGGCTCGCGCGGGATGCAGTGCCATTGCTGTAGGCAGGGCTGCCAATAACCCGTCAATTATATATTGCGATTCTAAGGGGATGTGCTGAAGTTTTGGCCATTGAAAGACATAAAATGGAGATGGTTTACACAGCTCGCGCCAACGAACACAACGTCGTCGTAGTGTCCCATGTGAACTGGGTGACTTTTTCAGGCCCACTTTTCCAAAAAAGTTTTCGCAACGTAACGTAGCATGTGAATCCAGTATTATCAACAAAACATCAGTTTTCCCTTTCAGAGCGGGCACTATGAACTTTGCCGCTTCCTTTTACGTATAAATCCGCAATATTAGAGGGTTGCAGTCCACTTCCAGCATTGATACCTCAAATTATTTTTTAAACCATGATTCTGGTTGGCTTGCCCACCTAAAAGGTGTTGGCTGGCCCACCTAAAAGGTGTTGGCTGGCCCACCTAAAAGGTGTTGGCTGGCCCACCTAAAAGGTGTTGGCTGGCCCACCTAAAAGGTTGCCCACCTAAAAGGTGTTGGCTGGCCCACCTAAAAGGTGTTGGCTGGCCCACCTAAAAGGTGTTGGCTTGCCCACCTAAAAGATGTTGGCTTGCCCACCTAAAAGGTGGGCAAGTATCCAGATGTTGGATGGAAAATGGACGAGCATGCTCGGACTGAGACACAATTATAGTAACAAGAGGCGCTGCGGCCGGGGCCGAAGCGCGGTGTTATTGAATAAAAGAGAAAACACGGTAAAATGCAAATCCCAGAAGCCAGGAAGATGTGCAGTGTGAAGTAGTGGCCGAGCATAAGGCGGTTACAGAGGTCCACATGACGCAAATCGACCAGGATGTGACGCCCGAAAAAATGTCAACGTGACGCGGCAAGACATTATTAAGAAGAACTAGCGATAAAATATAGAGCGTTGTAGTCGAGAACTGCAGGAAGAGACAGGCAAGGCTACGCAAGATTATTGAGCAAAGCGTTCCCAGAGAGAGGAGGGAGAGGAGGGCGATCACACCCCCACGAGCACGAGACACGACGTTAAGTAGATAGAATGAGGAGAGGACCGGGGAACCCGCGCTGTCTCCCATGCACCTACCCCACCTCGTCTCACTGTCCCCGCGCGTGTCCAATCCGCTGTACGGCTTCATTCACCGAGAGCTTGAGGTGGATGAAGCCCTCCTCCCGTCCACCGCGCCTCTCCACATACCTTTGAAGGCCCCGCACGAACCCTGTCATGTCCGTCGCCAGGTTTCGGATGCTTCACGCTGCTCGACGGCACCGACCTGAACGCCCCTCCTTCCTCCCCCCTGGCTACCTCCGGCCTGCTCAACCTCAACCCCACCGCCCCCACCACCTCAAGGGAGGTCTACGTCCTGCCGCGATCCTGGCAGGCAGATCCCAGACGTAACGCATCCGTCACGGATGACCTGTCCCTGCGGCTCTTCGGTCAGGGTACGGCAGTGACCGTATCCGCGTTCAAGGTGTCGTACGAGCTGTAATGGACGACCAGGGTGTATTCAAGTTACGGCCTGCTGAATGTTCGTGAGAACCTGAATAATGCGAGCCTGCGTTTTTATCCAACGGTACCAGGATTTACGGTGTGCAGACCTGTTGACGGCGGGCGATTACGAGCTGCTGCTGGTGCATTCGCCTGTTCGGGGTTTATTTTTTATCTCATGGGCACACACCATGAAGGCGTGTTGTTGCCCTGTGTGTGTTTGCAAGGTCCGTATGGCGGACTGGGGCTTCGTATATATTGGTAATATTGTCCGTAAAAAGCTCGTACAAATTAGTGGAAAAGGTTGTAGTGATTCGGAAAACTTCGTAAGGCTTCTCCGTGTTGGGGCATGAACGTGATTCCCCGGATTAGGCCATGTGCCGTTCACAGGCGCCTTGGTGTTATGCGTTGCTCCGTTATGGCGTTGATTCGAGTCTTAGTTTAAACGACACGCGCGAAGGGAGAATGAAAACAGGAATGAATAGCCGGCTGTGATCTTGTGTACTACTTTGCAGGTTGGTTGGCATTATTTTTCTCCCTACAGGCCGCCTAGACGTTATATGCATTTATGCGCTGCTCATCGCGATATGTCATGTAGAGCGATATGTCATTTTAGACAAGTCGAAGTGTAATAAGCATTTCCAGGCCAGTGATGCTTGGGTTAGAACAATCAACCGGACATCACCTGATGTGTCGCTGAGCATCACGACAGCTCCCACAGCCGCTTCCACAATAGCACTCGCCAGCCACAGGATATATTCCCCAAGAACACACCACCATGCTATCGATCAGCCATGAAGAGTATAAACTACCTTACCTACAACGACGCACGTGCACGTGCACCAGGCGCACCAGGCCGGCCGCTCTTACAATTGCATCTATGCCGTTGCAGCAAGTGTTTCCTTAAAGTTGCCCCTTCCTCAACAACGCGTTCGCCAGTGCCGTGCGCACTCTTTCCACCCGTCCGGCCATTTCCTTCCCATGACGCCCCTAAAAGACTGCGCTCCCACCCTGCGGCTACTGACTGCCGCAGGGCGTCCCAGGTACTTAATCGTGGTCGTGGTGGTGGTGATGGTGGGTTTCGTTCCTAGCAAGCTAGCGTGGAAAAGGGCACGGACCGTCACAAACAGCACCACGTGGCGAGCCCAGTGCCCAGCCAGTTGCGAAAACTGCAACGGAAAGCACAATAGCTGCCGTGCAATTGACTGCAGCTGCTGTTGCGACCGGCTGGAAAACGGTGGCACTCCACCCCGACTGACATCCCCGAGGCCGCCCCTGGTAGCAGTAGCAGTAGCAGTAGCAGTGGCGATGGTGGTGGTGCGTCCAATTTCCATATCAGCAATATCATCCACATGTTCGCGTCATCATGTGGACTTTCCATCGTCATCATCATCACGACTTATTCAGCGCGCTGATGTACAGCACTGTACGGCAGAGGTCAGGGGCACAGGGGCCGGGAGTTGCAGAGGAAGAAGCATTACGACAACTGTGCAAGAAGCAAAGTCAACTGAACTGAAGTCCTTGCGAGTCGATTGGAGTAAAGGAAGACACGTGAGTCTCGACGACAGTGAACGGAAATATGTATATACGCGGATGGCAGCGGGTCGGGAGAAACGCGGGAGCAGCACAGGGAGAGAGAAAGGGAGAGAGAAAGGGAGAGCGAGGAGCATGCAGGCCGGAAAGATGCCCTTGAAAGGGCCTTATTGCTATTTGATTTGATCACACAGCCGATGCTAGGATGCCGTTCTCTCCCAGCACAGGGAGCGAAGTCGGGTGGAGAGCTCCGGGAAGAACTGCCTGGCCCCTGAGATGTGCAGGGAAGTCCACAAGCAAGCAAGCACACTCGCACGCAAGCAGATAGGCAGGAAATCCGAAATGCGAATGGCGTCATGACCCAGCAGTAGTAATTGGCGTACCGTTATTGCCCCGAATGAAGGCGTCTCCGTACTTGTTTTTGAGTTGCCCATTGACGTACTCCTGCACAAACCCCACAGCAGGGGAGAGAGCGGGTGGATGCAACAGCTCACACCTCACATCTGGACATAGATGACCACCACACAACAGTCAGGACACGACAGAAGGGCCTTCTGCTTCTTCGCGACAGGTTCTTCTTCTCGAGGCAGACTAGATTCGCCAGAGCATTCAACACCAACGAAACCGATGGCTTGAACCCCCAAGTATGCCCCCAGGAATCCGCCCTGCATATGATGGGTATACGACACGGCCGCTGCGGTGGATGACGACGACGTGGTGGTGAAAGTGATGCGCGCGATTCAGATGAAACCACCAAAAACAGCCACCACGCGGCCACAGAGTCGTAGCGGGCAGGCCGGCGTCGTATTTCCCGTATCGCCCATAGTGGCCGATCTCAGCAGATGGCAGGTCAAGCCCCGATCTGCGACCTCCTCAGGTCTTCAGGGCTCCAGGAATCCTGAGGCCTCCTTGCTAAGCTGTGGCCTCCAACCCCCATATTCTTGAGCCTGCCCGGCGAGGGACGGCTGGACCCAGTGTCCAGTTCAGGTGCTATACACTTCGCGTGTTCCTCAGACTCACTCAGACTCCCATGATGAGCACATGTCCAGCACACGAGCAGCGCCCATGCGTCTCCATACTCTGTATTTACGCCAAGGCCATGGTGACTAGGCCTGTTGCCCTGGGAACAGTTATTTGCCCGTGTTGCCTTTTTGCTGCGTGCAATCTATGAGGGCTATGACCTGGATCATCCCACACATCCCACCGCACCTCAGTCTGCTCCATAGCAATGTTCATGTACCCGTCCAGGCAAGCTAGTATCCCTGCACATCCCACCGCAATTAAAAAGGGGCTTTTGGATACGGGAAGCGGACGGGCGCAGCGCTGTGCGGTCCATGTTTACCGCACAGGACACATGCGCGTGGCCACGCGCCTACACGGCTGCTGTGATACCAGGCGAGGCGCTACCCTAGGCTAGTGATCATAAGCGCTGCGTAAGGCGAGAGACTGCTGCAGCATGTGGGGGGCATCAATCCTGCCACAGCCATGCAAGGGCTATGCTGGTTCCGACAGAGCTGCGAATTTGACAGGCATAACCCAAAGCGCGCCGGAAGGGCGTACCTCGATAGTCAACTCCGGAATTGAGCTTGACTAGCACGGGTTTGCCTTTGATAGCTTTCAGAAACTCAGCCGGCGTCTGTCCTCGCGCATGGCGCAACCATCGACCGGAGCATGGCGCGGCATCATGATCAACGATCACAACAAGAACTCATCTAGACAGGTCTCTCATTTAGGTTACTGCTCAAAGCTTACAACAAACCTTTGTGACGCCAGTGGACACGCCGGCGTCTGCCATACCTCTGCTGATAACTCTGCAGAACTACTTTGATGCAATTGACTAAATGGAGACAAGCCTAACAAACTGAGAAGCGTTTTTGCTTCTTGAACTGTTACGGTTGAATTTGCAGCTGGAAAACTATCGTATTCAACAGTTTGGCCAAGCAGCTGTGTCCCGCATAAGCAAGCTCGACTACAACTTCATTGGCTTTACACCATCGACGAATGCAACCTCTGCAAGGTGGTCGATTGACTTACAAATCCACGTGTACGAATAGTGGTTACGGAGCAATCACATTCTTGATTACCACCGTCACATTAAGCCGTCCTTGAGAGAAGGTGCAACAAACTTAACCATATGGATACTCTAATTAAACTCAGCTCAAAGGCTATCACAATTCGCTGCCTTTTCCGTCCTGCTTGCTGCTGCCGAGCAGTTTTCCCATAAAGCTTTTCGCCCCCTCTACAAGCTTCGTCGCCCCATCCAGAATACTGCCAGCTGCCTTTGCCGCAGTATCCTGGAGCTTCGCCACCGTAGCGCTGGCCGTCGAGGCCGTACCGTCGTCCCCACTTGCTGGCTCCTCAACTGGCGCCGTTCGTTTGACGTAGCTGTCCATCCCCGTTTCTGCGCGCCACGGTAAAATGATTAGGGTACCAAACATGGCACATATCCAACCGAAGGCCTTCCAATTCCCTGCTCATGCCACTCACCTTTGAGTGCTTGCGCAAAGTCCGGGTCGTCCCCGTACACATCCTGCATCTCCTCAAGCTCCTCACTCAACGTGTCTGTGTTGTATAAACTGCCCGACAGGCCCATAGCCTCCATGTCCCTCATCATCCGCGTGTTCCGAACCTCGTCTTCATCCAACGGTTCATGGACCTCATCCACACGCTGACCCTGCGCGGTGCACGACGGTGTGTGTGGAGATCCACGACCCAATACCACACGCACGTCACTCGCGGTGCCGATTGTGGGCGCACCTACGAAGGTGCAGCACCGCGTATGCCTGAGGAATGTTCTGGACACCTTACCGCTGAAAAGGGCGGCGGCTTCCTGCTGCATGCATCTGTGGCGTCGTAGCATAGCCAGTTCGTGATAGCTGCACGCTTTTTGCCCTTGTAGAGCATAGCGCTCAAATCCGTCAAATCAATATCCTCAGTAATGAGCTCGCAAGCCCTTGCTATTGTTCGGCACTCGGACTTGCATCTGCCAATCTGCGTTGGGAAGTTCGGATTAGGGTTGGGGCGGGCGGGGGCCGGCGGGCGGTTGACCCCACTTTACCCGGTAGCTCCAGACCGGTCCCATAGTATATCACCCACCATGTCCGTGTCTTTTAATTCTAAGCTGGTCCCTTGCTCCACAATGTCATACTGGGTGATCCAATCGCCTGCATTCTGGTCGGGGTTGCACATCTTTTCGAGTCTTTCTAGGATGTCCGCCTCGCTGATCTACGAGCACCAACATTATTGTGAGTCTTCCGAGTTATCGCGACGCAATGTTCTTCCTAAAGTTCCCACCTTTTTCGCGCCTGCAAGTTCGCCAAGGTCCTTCATTATGAGCCGGGTCTCCTTCGCCATCGCCTCACAGACTTGGCATCTAATATATTTCATGTCATTTTTGTTTGCTGGAGCTTTAGGTTTGGGTCGCTTTGGGCCGCCGAATTGCGCGGAAGCCACGGCCACAAATGCTAGGAGCAAAATCCCAATTAATCTGCTCATGTTCCAAACATGCAACAAACGTCCAACCCGTTAAAATACGTGCTAATGAGTGACACTACTTGCTGACAGTTGCCGGCCGACCGCCAACTTCTAGACGCTCGTACAAACCGCTGTACTGATATGAGGTGTCCTCTGCGGCAGCCCGGCTTACAACCCATGCATGTATTTATGTTATAGCTGTGCATAATCCCCGAAGTTTAAAGTATTTTGCGATGCTCGTTGCAAGCCTCAATAATGCACCCAGGGCAGGTGGTTAGATACTGCTGATGAACACAAGAATCCAATCGGACACTCGGATCAGCTATTGGTTACGCCAATCTCACAGCCCGCTGTATTTTTCGTGGAGAAAATCCATTCCCTCCGGACGTCCTACTATGACACCCTGCGAATCTTGTTATCTCACATCTGCAGTAGCCGAAGACTTCCGTGGGTTGCAGCCTGCAACATGCAGGTTGCTCAACCTACTGGGCCTACTGGTTGCTTATACTTTCATGGTGTACGGCAGGTGCATGGTGTAGACAGGCTGCGCGAAAGCGGATGCCAGAGGTAGCTCACATAATGGTAATTTTCCACATTAGTCGAACAACAGTCGGACGAATATGGGAAGGTATCATTTGGCAAAAATCCCATAAAACTCACCACCGCACTTGTTTGCCCGCCGCAATGCGAACGGTAAGTTTAAGACCCACATTTCATCAAGGAGTCACACCTGAATGTCGTTCACGCGACACATACACTGGCAGAGACACTGGCATATCCATATCCGACCTGCCCCGCGAAATCCATCACCCAGACCTCATTTAAAACCTCCGTACCTTTTTCCCCCAGGTAATGAATGACAGGAGCAAAAAGCCATACACACTCTCAAGCCCACTCCACAGCCTCTACCCCTCCTTGTCCCCGAGGGGAACACGCGCGTCCCGCCTCCCGCCTGGAGAAGCGTTACGACTCTCATCGCGGCACAGCGCGAGACGAAACAGGACTCAACGAGACTAGCAACATATAACCTATGTGCTCGTAGCTCGCGACCTGCGACACGCAAAATGTGCAAACCACCTGCAATAAACTGTCCAATCCCCTTCCAACAACCGACTACGAACAGTACCGTGGTCCGGGTCATGACTGTATCTCACATTATGCAGATACGAATGGGACAATTTTCAAGTTCCTTAGAAGTTGAAGTAATCTGAACGATGCGGAGCCCGGACAAATCTACGGCACCCGTTTAACTCCGTTTCGCGGAACGGGAACTTTGCTGCTGAAAACGATCCAACAAACGATCCAACAAGCCTCAACCTCCAAAACACATCTCAGCTGCTGTCCCCCGCCACCACCCAAGTCATCGACTCAGCATCAAATAGCCCTCAGTCCCAATCCCACCTATCCGTGTGCAGCACCGTACACAAGGCCCTCACCACTCGTACCACCTCCCCTAAGGCAGGTGCCCTGTGATCCTGCGGAGTCGGGCTCCGCAGTAGCACATTGCTACACGTCTACACCCATCCGCAATACCCCTAAATTCTCAGCCACACGACACCGACTCGCACCTCAGTCCCCAACTGCCCAACTGCCATACGTGTGTTTACTTCGCCTTCTCCTCTTCCGCGCGCCCGCTACCGGCTGCTGCGCACAGCGATGATGCTAATGTCCTGATCTGGCATGTCTTCCCCGTCCCGCGGCGCCAGGCAGATCTCCAAGCCGTGTGCCGAGAACACGTCCGTCATGTGGTCGTCGAGTTGTTGGGAGCGGTGCACGTGGGCCAGCAGGATGGCGGCGCGGGGGTTGGCGGTCAGGAGCCGCTGCAACAGCGGAGCCAGTACTTCTGGGCTTTGGTTGTCGTACACCAGATCAGATCCTGTGTTGTGGGGTACGGGGGCTGGGTTGAGTGGTTGCAATTGATGGTTGTGTTCGCTACGGCGGTGATGTGGGGGGTAGGGAAAGGTAGGGAGGGAAAGGGAGGGAGAGGGGGACCTGACCCGCAACGTGGACGGCTTGAAAAGGAGCAGCAACTATAAAAAAACACAAACAATGATCCGGGTAAAAGAGTATTGAGGTCTGGAAATAAATCCAACGCCATAACGCATATCGCCTGGTAGGAAACAAAGGTCAAGCACAGATGCGGACAAAGGAGGACAGGTAAAAGAGCATCAGAACGAGCCCATCCCTTCCCTCGCTCCTCCCTCGCCGCCTCTTCTTCCCCTCCTTCCGACCCGCCACTACCCCATGCTCCCGAACGTTGTGCTACACAGTCGAAGTTCGTACCAATTACGTAATCCCAGGCCACTCCCAGCAGCTCCGGGGAGGGCGCAGTCCAGTCCAGAGTCGCCACCTGAGCCGCCCCACCGGCACCTCGGATCAGGTCGGCGTTCTTGGCCAGGTTCTTGGAGGCAATCGGCACCACATCCGGGAGGTCCGTCAGCAACACCGTGGCGCCGAAGGCGGCGGCGGTGAGGCCGGCGACACCTGCGCGTGCGTATGTATGCGCGTGCATGCACGTGCACGTCCACGTGTGTGTATGTAGGGGGTGACGGGAGCCGCGGGATACCAGAATTGTTGCAGATGAAGACGATGAAAGTGGGGAAGATGATCAAAAGGGGGACGGGGATTGAGGTATGACGGGATAGTGATTGGATGGCTGGGTTTGGCTGTTATTCAAATTCGTAAAGTAATCAGACGTGGTGATGGTGATGGTGATGGTAATGGTTACGGTGATGATTCAATCAGATTCGCATGGTGATGAAGGGGGAGCCTGAAGGGCGCAGGGTTCTTCACCAGGGTACCCAAAAATTTCGGCCGTGTCCGAAACCCTCTGAATAACCTTTCGAGGCCCTCCCCGAAAATTTTCCTGTCAGCCGGAGAGTGTTTTCGGGTACCCCGAAACTGTCTGAAGCGGTTTTCGGGGTAACATTTAGCTGGATTCTATCGTTACATGCTAGGACGGCTGAATTAACAGGTGTTTGACTTTATTTTGGAACATAGCTCCTGGGAGCGATCGTTCAGGCAAGGATTTTATCCAAATCCAAGGAGGCGCCGCTCCTCATCCACCTCTGCAGCAATCGCCTCCACCACACCTGCCACATCATCATCCGTCTCCTCAGACGGGTACACCTCATCACTTGCCACACTCTCGACCTCCTCGTGATCAGAAGGATAATAGGCCTCAGCAATTTCACTGCCCACAATGCCCTCATCATCACTCTCATCAGGCAGAACACAGTCGCCCACCTTGGCAAGACGGTGCAGGAGCCCATCCGGGTTCTTTGCAACATACTCCTCAGCAGCTTTAAATCACAAGGGGTTGGCATTTCATATCCACGGTTGGACCGAGTAATCCAACACGCAGAAGGGAATCAATGGACGGGACAGCCAGCCGGTTATGCAGCCTGTTCTTGATAATGCGGTGGACACTAAAGCCACGCTCAACACACGCTGTTTGAGTGGGCAGGACACAAGCGACATACACCAACTGAACCAAGCGTGGAAAGAAGTGGACCCACTGACGCATTCCAGCCCAGGCCCGCTCCCAGGAGGTGCGGCCCAGCTCCAACTGCAAGGCCATCTTAGACTTCATAACTGAAAACTCTTTCTGCAAAACGTCAAGCTCGCTGACATCGAAGGCAAACAGGCGGTTCGAGCTTGCCGAAGCCGCGAATCCCGAGGGAGATGCGGGGCACCTTGGTTGGGCGCTCATCATCAATTGACTCGGGCATGTTTAACTATGCATATGCTTAGATGTATGAAAATGTGGCATATGGATATGCTTAGATGTATGAAAATGTCTGCGATACAGCTGCGAAACAGCCGCAATGCACATTTGTACTTGTTGTTTGACTGGTGACCAAGCGGGCCTTATACGTCAAGCCCGGTTTCAAGGCCCCGTCTGCGCCCGAAAACATGCAAATTCACGCTGAAATATCGTTCGGTTTTCTCCGAAAACGCCTTCAAAAGGCTTCGGTGGGGTCCCCGAAAAGATGCTCTAAAAGGCCCCAAATCCGTTCGGAATGCTCCGGGGCGTACTAATTTTCCTTTCGGGCAAAACAGAAATATCTCAAAAAAGTTCGGGCCCGAATCGGGGTGAAGAACCCTGGAAGGACGTGTGTTCTGTCGAGTAAGACTTGCTAGGGTAGGAGTCTCTCTCACCGATGCCAGTGCCGAGCTCCAAGATGGCCCTTCCCTTGATGTCTGCGTGCTTGTAATCACGGAGGTAGCAGCCCAACCGAATGGCTGGACGGATGAGGCAGCAGCAGCAGCAGCAGCAACAGAAACGGCAGTAGTATTAGTGAGCCACTGAAACACCGTTGACAGCAGCAGCTCAGTACAAACAGGGCTGGGAATAAAAAAACAGATGTCTGCTTCACAAACAGTAAAATGGGGAAGCAACTACTAAATAGAAAGACGAACACATTGGTGAAGCTCTGAGCCGTGCTGATATGCACTGAGGAAGGCATTAAGACTTGCATTCAGGTTGTTGCGGGTTTCCCAGGCTGCGGCGGGTTGTCGTCCGAGTGGTGGTTGGGGTGGTTGTGGCGGTTGCAGTAATTAAGCACTAGGCGGCTCTAGGCCCCACCTGACTCCATAACTGGGCAGCCTTCCGTGCGACCTTCCTCCACGAACTTGAGGCCAATAATGCCAACTCGGTCGCCCTAGGGGCGGCGTACACATGCGTATCCGTTTCGAGGTGATAAGCTGGATAAATGGTCATTTGATAGAGGATTGTAGGATTTCACGATTAGTGTTTACGGGAAACATGGAAACGTATATCGATTGGGGCCTGTCCTGCCGAGAGGAAACGGCAATACCGGTAGTAGCGCGGAGGACTTAATCCGATTCCCAACTTTTCAGGTTTCCAGAATTCCTAAGATGGGTTTCACCGTAGGCGGTTCACCAGGGGTCGTTTCAAGATGAGAGCAGGGAGCGAGTTGGTGCGCGACGCGTGCAAGGAGCGCGTCCTTGTCCTGCCATAGCTCACCACAGAGCACGACGAGCGAGCCATAGCACCCTCAAGCAAGGCTTGAAACTCTGCATCAAGCTTAACTGCTTGACAAAAGACCGTTCGGTGCATGTTCACAGCTGCGGGCACCTGCGGATGGGGCCAAGTGGTAGGTTTGGACTTCTCATTAAGGTTTCCAAGCAGACTATATACATATTTTCTGAATAGATAGTTCTCTTGGACCATCACGGTGCGCCTCAGAAGCTTGCTTAGCTGCTTGCCGAGACCGTCGCACTCCTTCGCTGCAAATTGCCACGATGAAGATGACACCTACCTTACGCATTTGTCGTTGTACTACATGAGGAGTGACGCTTAAGCGGCTTCGATCAGCTGCAATGGCGCTGCGTTGAGTGTGCAGGGTGCGCATGGTGTTGTAGCAGTTTTAAACGAATGATCCGATGTGCAGCCGATCGCTTTTCCAGACCAACTATTAAGCGAATGTAGTGTGTCTGTACTTCTAAGGAAAAATAATGTAGGTCAAGCTAGATAAAGGAGAGCGCCAGGCTTTACCACAACCGAATACGTTGATGCAAGGCCCTTCTGTCCTTCTGTTTCTGAGCCTCTGAACCTTGGACCTCCATCTCTTCGTGATGTATTTTATAACGCTGTGGCTGAGGCTTAACTTGTGATTATCTGGTTCATTATGCAATTCATGCTTCGTTTCGGTACATCGGCACATCGTCTTCACAGTCAGCAACCTGTATTGCCCTGGAAGCAAATTTATTCCGTTCCTCCACGAACTTCATATAGAAAAAGTCGTTTGATTGCAGCTCACGGACAAGCACCACAGGAACCGAAACCAACCCGCAATGATGAAGACCATAGGCGCCTTACGTCAGGTCAGGTACAGTGAGGCCTTCAGCTCTATTATAACATATGTGCGTAGTACCACTTCTCATTGATAATTAATCTCATCATCGGAGACGATGGGGCTCGAACCCACAACCCCCAGATTAGAAGTCTGGTGCGCTATCCATTGCGCCACGCCTCCACACCCTAACAGCCTTCAGCTCCTTACTAAGGCTATCTCACTATGATTCTGGCCTGCTCAACCACGTCTTTAACTCACGGATGCTTCCATAACAGACGTTCCTTATTTCGATTCCTCCATCTCCTCTCGCCAACCAATGCAACACCCGCACTCGCAACCCTGTGTCCAAACCTCGCATGGGTCTGCACCCTCCACCGCGGTGTTAGTTACCATGTCCATGTCCATGTCCATGTCTGCAAAACGTAAGCCCAACTAACCTCGCGTGGTGGTATCCTGCTCCCTCCGCACACGCCGTTCGATGGCCGAAGATATCAGCCCACGCCGTTGCTACCCCGCTTTGCTCGAGCCTATCTCCTGGCTACCTCGCATCGCTGTTCCCTTTTTCCGTCGCTGCAACCACCGCCTCCTCCTCTTCTTCCAATCCACTGAACAGACGCACGGCCTCTCTTCTATCTGTACCTCCCCCCCCCAAAATGTCGTTTGTACAATTTCTGCTATTGCCTCACTGCCTTTGACCACTCCACCGTCCTAGGACGTCCGATGTGCACCTACAACTGTTTCCCTTTTTGATTTTTTACACATATGACTGTAAATTCTGGTCCCACTTCCCGCTGCCGGTCCCGGCACACACACACACCCCCGCCGCCGCCTCGTTACAGCAATCCTCCGCTCCGCTGCGGCCACCTGGTCCCGGCTGGACACCCCTCAGCGCCTCTACACGGTAGTCGCAGCTGGCGCCGTGCTGCTGGCCGCACCCCAGCTTTTGACCCTGCTGCTCATCAGCGCTGAGCGGCTGCTGGTGGGGGCCTTGCTGGTGGTGGAGGAGGTGCTGGGGGGGGCCTTGCTGGCGGGAACAAGGCTGGTATGTGTGCATGTGTATGTATGTGTGTGTTAATGTGTTGATGAAACATGCGGCTGCTTGGTGGCGGGTGACTAGAACTAACTATCGCTACCGAGGCCAACTAAAGTCCCAACTAGATAGACCCCTAAGAACTAGTTCCTACCCTGTGCCGATGGACAAAGCGAAAGCACATGCTACCACAGCGCGTCCGATGCGACGGCAAGGCCCCCGGATGCGCAACGAGCCTTTCCCACGAAAGCATACGGTTGACTGACCTGTTGTCGATTGTGTGCGTATGTATCTCTGGGGGCTGGGAATCCGGAGTGGTTTGGGGGAGTGGGTAAGGGCACGGTGGCGGGACAGTGCGATGAAAGAAAGCTGTGATGCGGCTAGGGATAGGAGGAGGAGGGGAGGGGTGGGAGGAGGAGGAGGCCCAGGCGGCAGCGGCCCCGGCGGAGACACGACGTGGTCGAGGACGTGGCGACACAGCCGTCGTGTATTGCCATGCAATTGCACAGCAGTGAGAACGAGGGGCGCTACCTGCCGTATCTTGCCAGATCGCGAGCCCGTGTAACGTTTTACCTACTACCATACTTCACCTCACCTCACCCTACCCCACTAGAGAAGCGGTAATCACGTAGGGCTCTGGCCCCCTTTGGCCGTCCGGTCCCTAACCCCAACCTATCCACCACCACCACCACCAACACCAACACCACCAACAACAACAACAACAACAACAGCAACCCTCTCCCCCTTCCCCACCTGCCATCCGGGTGATCCGCAGATCGCGCTGTCCGGCGTCCTGGCACTGGTGGCGGTGGGCGCCTACCTCTTCCTGTTTAGGAAACGGTCCCCGTCTTGAGAAAAGCAATGTTTGTCACGTGAGAGGAATGTTCTCCTGCTCGTTGCCGCTTGTTGGACGGCTATAGCCTAATCAGGCCTTCCACGAATACATGATATTGATGATAAGTCTGGTGCTGGTGCTGGTGCTGGTGCTGCTGTGGCGGTGGTGGTGATGATGTGGCGGTATATTTCCTGTCCACTGCTGGTGTGGGAAGGCTTGCATGGGCAGCAGAAACGTAAACAACCCGACCCGACCCGACCGAATCTGGATACAAACAAGGAATCAACACGCTGACTGTTAAAGAACGGTTGCTGCTGTTGAGTGTGGAGCTGATCCCCTCACGCTCCGTCGTTTTGTATCCTGCTACTGCTACCATTACTACTGCTACTGCTATTACTGCTACTACTGCTATTACCACTACTACTGCTATTACCATTACTGCTGTGCTTTTACTTGTTGGACTGTGCTGGCCTAGCTGCTGGTCAGCTGTGTATGATCTTTGTGGACGGTGACTGGGGTGGGATGGGTTATGACATTAAGCTGCTGCAATCAATCAGGGCCGCACAAAAATGAAGAGTCAAGGGGAAGTCTGGACTTCTCAGGATGGGTTGGGATGAGCCTCTTGAGTTTCTTGACAAGATCCAAGCAATGACAGGGAGGTTGGGTCCCCAGCGAGGACATCTGACGCCTCCAAAAGGGGTTGGAGGGTGACGGTGGAGGGTGGGTTGGCCGTGATGATGGTAAGGCCCGCATGCGGATGGTGATGATGCTCGCGTTACAGGGGGTATACCGGGGGAGTCTCTCTTCGGCTTCTACACTGCCGCTGGTGGTGGTGGTGGTGGTGGTGTAGTTGGGTAATGGTTGGGTGGTGCTGATGGCATTAAGTACAGGGAGTAGCGCCTTTGCATCGCGGGTGGTGCTCCCCCTCCCCCCTCTCCCTGCCCCTCATCGACTGAGGTTCAGGTGGTTCAGTACGAACACCTAGGGGCTCACAAGAGGTGAGGGCACTAGGAGGACATCGCGCCCTGGGCTGGTGTAATGACGCGCGCGGTGGAGGTTCAGCGCCAGATATCGTACATGAATTCGTGCATTTAATGAATACCTTAGTTAATTTTAAGATGTTAGAATGTCCTGATGCGTTAAATCTCTCCGTCTGTATCCCTTTTAAATGTTTCGTGAACACGGGTGTCTTACGTACGGTGTCCTACATACGACCGCTTTGTAAGGAATGATACGGCACTTCCGTACGTGTGTGTACGTTTGTGACACTTCCGTACGTGTGTATGTATACAAGAATTGACCAGCCTAATCAATTGTGCCATTGCGAGCTCCGCCTTTGGGACTTCCCCGTCCCAAGGGATATGTGCTCTCGGATTTTAATCCCTTGTTTTGCAGTTATACCTACTTATATATTTGCATTTGCGTGGAGTCGTGGATCCGCATTAGGCATTAGGCCGCTGATATCACCTCACACCGCTACCGGAGTCTACTGGATTCTACAGCAGCAAGCTGTGTTGTCGTGCAAACCTTCCTCCCATCCCCCCCATCTCCACACACACACACACACGCTGGCACAAGCCTCGATGACCAGCCCCTCGTCAGCAGGCGCCACCCCGGCCCTTCCTGGCCCGCCCAGTCCCCCCCCGGGTGGTGTTGAGTCGACATCCCCTACCCCTCAAGAATGGTGGAGAAGAGAAAGATGGAGGGGACCACTATCGTCGCATTTTCAGCAGTGTCCTCCTCCTCCCTTTACTCGCGCCCGCAGGGAACCTCACTCGCCTCCCTTTTCCTCCTCCTCCTCCTCCTCCTCCTCCTCAAGCAATTACATACATAGAGAAACATACAGCTAGGAGAACGGCAACCGGACTAATCATTGTCCAGGGCCGCGGCCCCGGACGGGCCAAACCGCGACCACCGTCATCACCCCGTCATCATCCCGGTCGTCTCCGCCGCCAGCGACGGCGGCGGCGTTTCCACCAAGCCGATTCTCGGACCGTACGGCAACAATCCAGTCGTACAGATTGACGGTTGGATCACAGTGCCCCGGTTGCAGCTTAAGCATTGCTCCCACGGGGGGTAGCTGCGGGGGCAGCTGGTAGGCGCCCTGCGGCCACCAAGGTTTTGTGTTAAGTGATAAAGCGTCTGCTGCTTTTGTAAAGCGGCAGACGCAGCAGCAGCAGCAGCAACAGCAGCAGAAAGTCTTAATCCGCCCTTGCGATTCGTTCGTGAAATCCACACCATGTATGTGGAAGTCAAACACTTGTGTATCAACTGCTTTTGCCGGTTCGACTTAAACTGTCGCCCACGCACAAGAGAAGAGCTCAAGGAGAGTCGGGAATGGATCCAACCAACCAAAAACATCAATTTATCAATACGGAGGGAGCTGACAACGAATATCGCTAAGGCAGTAAATGGAAATTAAAGAGTCTGCAGCACTAGCAACCATAGCAGCAGCCGCTATTGCTACTGCTGCTGCTGCTGCTGCCGTGCCGCAGTTTTAAGTTATTAGCTGTTGCCTCACGTATCCATCCCCTAGTCCGTTGCCGTACCGCCAAGGTCGCACGTACATCCCGCCGACGGACCTGCGGCCACAGCAGCTTCCCATGCTCGTCACCGCCGCTGACGTACTCTAACGTCACGCCGTACATCTCTGTGAAGCTGCGCGGCAGCTGCGGTGGCCCGCTGTCTAGCGACACTGCCTTAGTACCGGCGTCCACCACCGCCAGCCCCCGGGATGGGTTGGTGGACATCACCTGCCGTGCACAGGTAGCGCGCGCGTGTGTGTGTATGTTAATGATCTGAGTCGCGATGAGGGAAATGCAGATGGTGGTAAACTGCAAGATAACTCCGTATTCGAGTGCGTGTGTATGCCTGTATGTGTGTGGGGGGGAAGGAAGTTTATGGGGAGCTGATCATTCGGGCGGGAACGGGGAGGGGGAGGGGGATGATGCAAGATAGCTTTAGTGTGTATGTGTGTATGGGCCAGAACATACACACACACACACACATAAACACACCAACACACCAACATGCAACCTGCGTCAGCACCCAGAGGCTCTGCTCCCACTCCCCTGCGCTGCCATCCTCCTGCGGGGGAAACGGGGTTGATGGAAAAGGAGGTCATGGGGGCCCGGGCCGCAAGAGCGGGAGGGAGAGGGACCTCCCCCCATGAAGATGAGGAGCTGGGAAATGTGAGCAATTCACGTTTGAAATCGGTGTTCACATTCAGCGCTCTTTTAGTCAAAAAGTGAGTATTGACGTGAGCAGGCTAAGGCCTGCTATCCGCGCAGGGGCCACTTCACCTCCAGCCCCCAACCCGCCTGCAGCAGCATTAACAGGTCGAAAAACGTGTGCAGGTTTAAGTCCCCCCCTACGACACACATACACACACAATTGTACACACGTTCACACATACATACATACACACATACCGCACTCTACCCCACCGCCGCCCAATGCCTCTTCCTCCAGTACACCCCCACTACTGCCTACTTGTACATTGCGGCTGTAGTCCGCGTCATTGAACACGAAGGACCCGGGCTGGACCTCCGTGAAAACCCCACTGGCGGCCTCCAACCTGGACGTGACGTGACGTGACCGCCAGATTCAGGACGTTGGGGGAGAGGGGAAGAGGGGAAGAGGGGAAGAGGGGAAGAGGGGAAGAGGGGAAGAGGGGAAGAGGGGAAGAGGGGAAGAGGGGAAGAGGGGAAGAGGGGAAGAGGGGAAGAGGGGAAGAGGGGAAGAGGGGAAGAGGGGAAGAGGGGAAGAGGGGAAGAGGGGAAGAGGGGAAGAGGGGAAGAGGGGAAGAGGGGAAGAGGGGGTACCAGGGCCCTACCGGTGTCAAGGGGGCGCGACTGCGGTAGTCGAGGGCGTGGATTGGCGGGTGGGGGTTTGGGGGTGTGAACGGGATAGTTTGGAAGTGTGGGCGGGCTTGGGGAAGTCAACACCAGGGGGGGTCAATACACCAAAACACCCCACGATACTCCAACGTGTCGCGTGTAGCAGGCTCGCACATGCACACATGCATACACACCTTCATGCTACCCTTGCTTAGGGACAAGGTCGGAGGTCCCGCTCCTGGTTCAGTCCGGTGCGCCGACCCGCTGTTGACCCTCCTTCCCTTCCCCCCTCCCCTGCCCTTTCCCCCTCCCCTGCCCTTTCCCCCTACCCCTGCCCTTTCCCCCTCCCCTCCCTTCCCCCCTCCCTACCCCTTCCCCCCTCCTCTCCCTTCCCCCG